CGCTTGCGAGTAACATTGTAATTAATGATTCTTTGACACATTAATTCATTTTTCTGTGAAAATCATGGGATTTGATCCATCCATCTTCTTTCCCCGCGGGGCGAGCCCGTGCTGTTGTCGCAGCAAATGGCGGCAGTAGGGTACAACCTTGACGGCTTCTTGTATTCCTCCCTTGGCCGATAGATTTATGTCCTAATTTATTTTTTTCATGGAAATGTGCTGCATTCATTTATTAGCATGGAGACCGATGTGACAGGTACTGCACATCTGCAAATCCTGCTGAAGATGTGTGCAGTGGTGCTGTCAGCAATACACGAGCAGGTGGCCCTTTTCAACAATAAATTTTTAAAGGTTCCTGCTAATTTATCTTCGAGAAATACTGCTTTGAAGCAATTTTATTACTGTTTTCACCTATTTGTCAACTGTGGCTGAACATCTCCAAAAACTCTTTTAAGTGTATTTTAAAAGGAATTTCCAACTTCGGTGGAAAGAGTAAGAATAGGGATGTTCTCCATTAAATGTATATTACTTTCAGTATTGATTTTGGAAAGACTTACCTACTAGCTACCTTTCACATCTGCTGGCAACTTCTCATCACTTTGTAGAAATGGGTAAAACCAAAGTGCCTGAACTTCTCCCTTTGTTTAGTCTTCCCGTATCTGAGCAATGAGATCACATTTTTTTCTGAGAACATAGATTATATACCATAGATTATGTCATGGTGCAGTTGCTTCTAAATGAAGAAACAAACTATTCCGGCTGAGGATTCAGTTTTGATTTGAAATCATTATCAAGCACAAATGAGTAAGGGTTCTCATCTTGTCACTGACTTGTAAAGGATTAAACTATGATAATTAGTAGATGCCTTTAGTTTGCTCTTAGGACTTAGTATGAAACTACCCCCAGAACCAACTGGCAGTTGCGAGTTTCTGAAGGGAGGATGCAGTTTCAATAGTAGAATAACAAGACATTATCCTAACTGATGTCAATAATCTACTAACTTCTTTTTCATGATGGCCAGTCCTTAGCAAAGCCTTGTTGGATTTTGAGAAAATTTATTTAAAGTTACATTTTACAGAAATAAAATATTTTAAAGTTTTTAAGAGTTCACCTTCCAGACTGGCGCTTGTCTCCCAGTATAAAAAAGCCTTGATAAACTGGAGTGAGTTCAGCAGCAGCCACCAAGACGGTTGGGGCTGGAGCCCTTTCCCCGTGAGGGAGCAGAGGGACTGGGGCTGGCTCAGCCTGCAGAAGAGGAGGGAACCTTTGAGGGAACCTAAAAGCAGCCATCCAGACTGATGAGGAGGTCATGGAGGAGAAGGAGCCAGGCTCTTCCCAGTGGTGCATGGTGGGTGGATGAGAGGCAACAGGCCTAAGTTGAAACAAAAAAGATTCAGAGTGGTTTAAAGAAAAACTTTCTCACCATGAGGACAGTCAGGAACTGGAGCAGGTTGTCTGTGGAGTTGTGCAGCCTCTGTCCTTGGAGGGTGTCAAGCCTAAGCTGGTTAAAATGCTGAGCAACCTGCTCTGGCTTCATGTTTGACCCTGCTTTGAGCAGGAGGTTGGACTAGAGACTTCCCGAGGTCCCTTCCAGCCTGCATGACTCAAAACAGTATCTGTCTTTTTGAAGTATAACTTAAAGCTTAAATACCAAATATCCAAGCCTGGCACCAAGTTAACAGCACCAAGTTTCTCCTCGCTGCTCCACCCATCACCTTCTCTGAAGGATTGTTCCTTCCCCTTCAGAAGGAGGCTTTGAGCTTCCCCAGGGGAGAACAGCAGAACAACGAATACCTTTCTTCCTGGGTTCATTGCTAGTACAGCTTACCCACAAAGCTGAAAAAAACTTTACAGTGAGATTGTTGTCAACTACTCTGTCATAATTAAGAGTTACATAATACTTTGGTTTAGAAGAAGGAGTTGGTACAACCCATTTGGGTTAGATTCCGTTAGTGGTGTATGGTAACCAACCATTCCCTTTGGAGAAGAGATCCTTGGGCAATTATGATATTAAGGTATATCTGTGGGTCAGCATTTGTTTTTTGCAGGTTTACAGTTATGGTGGAGAAAAGTAGAGCTGAATTGCATCACACATTGTGTGTGGTTTATTTAATATGGTAATATCCTGATGGAAAGGACGAGTTGTTTTGATTGCTTTAGAGTTGCTTTGGGGACTGAAAATCACAGGCTGTAGAGTTGTCTGACTTGTTTTTTCTTCTTTGGCACCTTTTTCTATGATGGGCTGCTTTTGTTCACAGACTGTTACTCACTTCTGCTCCTTTGAAATTAAGTTTCTTTGCAGACCTCTCTGGAGACTTACTATGGACCATATTATTAGGAAAAAAAAGGAAAAAGCAAAAAAAAATAAAAAAGAAGTGTTTCTCTGCACTGAAGTTTCATTTCTATACTCTTCAGAACCCCTGCTGTACAGTGGGTATTATATAGTTTTTACTTTCAAGCCCTGATGAATTAATCTTTGATTTCTTTGACTTATGAAATAATACACTTCCTGTAAATTCCAGGTAAATTCCAGGCTGTCACTTGGCGAGTCTCACATTGCGAGAGGGGTAGGACAAAGCCTGTCATTCATGGGAGCCAGATCTTCTGTGAAGTCACCGGGAGGAGAATTTGATCCTAATAATACTTTAAATGTTTCCACTGCAGATTTATTTTCAACTGCAGTTTTCTCCACCTTATTTCAGTGCTAATATACTAAACCCTACCTCAGCTCAAGGCACAGCCACCATCTACTGCCAGTTAAAATCAGAACTATATTCTTTGTAGTCACCAAGGTATTTTGTATTGCCTCTGCAAGCTTTTGTTGCCCTGTGGCTTCCACCCATCCAGGTAAAATTTGAATGTTTTAAACTGTCGAAATATTGTTATAGTCTTAGCACCACTTCTGAAAGATTTTACATCTTTGTACACAATAAACAAGATAAAAAGCAGACTACAGAATTCCCTGAGAACTTTAGCAATGGTAGGTCTAGATTTCAGAACTTACTACATGGACTTTGGCCATGCGATGTGGACTGAAAGATTTCACCATATCTTCCTCTAGTGAGGACCTGGTATTCAAAGAAATGCCAGTAGTATTGTAGTTGTCAAGATGGATGCCACCTCTAAATCAGTGGCATTTTTAGGAATGAGTTTATGGGTAAGACCTTACTTGCTATAGGCTGGCACTAGCCAGAGATCTAACATCTTAGGAAATAATTTATACTGTAGATCATTTAAGAGAGGGTCAGATTTGCATAGGTGTGAGTATTAATCCCGTAGGCTATCAATTTCTTTTGAGCAAGTGATCACCACATATCTATGGTAATGCTTGTAGAAAAAATGATGGACATGGGTTTATTTTTCAGCCTTGTCGAGCCGCATCAGCTTGATTTGTGGTGGTCCAGATCAGTGTTTTAAATACACTACGTTTGGGAAGATCGCTGTGTATTTTTGCCATTGTATGCTAGTTACTGTCTTACTGATATTGCAGCCAGACTCAAAGGAGCTGTGCAGGATATCTGACAGGCCTGGTGTGCCTTCAAAACCACACGCGCCATCTTCTCACTGCCCTACCAGCTGCAAAGGGACTGTACGAGGGGCACAGAAGGAGATCCTGGGTTAGAAGAAAACAGTGCATAAGTACATTTGTGTGATTCTTCACTGTTCTGTACGTACGTTGGGCAGTCATGCTCGTAGCAGTCAATATAAAACTATTGTGTGGAAACAGAAAAATTGGGTTTGGAGGTGGTCAGCTGTGGCCTGGTATAAATGACTGGTGGAAACACAAGGCAGGAAAATAACTATGAATGTGCCCAGCTGCTGTTTTAAACAGGTCAGAGAAAGGTGAGGGGGCTGGATTTCAACCCAGTCTGGATGTGGTGCTGCATGTGTGCTCTTGGCTTCATTCTCATTCATTCGCAGTGAAACAGCCATGCACTGCTTAATGGCATATATAAGACAGAATTAAGAAAGTGGCAATAACTGCTTACCTTCCTGGAAAAAAACCTACAGGAATTACACTTGTAATGTGGGCTGAGGCTTTGAGTGTTTTTTTCTTTCCCTGCAAATGTCTCTGGAGCTGTTATGTAAAGTGCAAGATGGTAACTCATCAGGACATTTCAGTTTTCACAGCTCCATTTAATTTCTCTTTTCACCCAGGAGCTGCAGGAGTTATAAGACTGTGTACAGGCACTGCCGTGAATTTAAAGGCGGCTTTGTAAATTCTGGCAGCTTGGGTGATAAAGCTGTCAGGTCTTCACCACCAGCTACTCTAGTACTAATGATGGACAGTGGAAAAGGTGAGGGTGAAAAATGTTGTTCCCCCTTCTGTGACTGCTGCTGTCTAAAACTGTATTGGCATTTCAATGTATGACTGGTTGCATGGAGTTGTTTATTACTCCTTAGGATTCCCTAAGGTCAGAAACATGGCAAGCAGTGTGCATAAGTTTTTATTTTACATTTTTTCTTTGCAGAATTTGGGGATGTAGAGTGATTTAAATGTTTTGTCACTTTTGTCAGTTTGGATTTACGGGCTAGGATGAGAGTGGGAAATAAATACTCAGTATGAAAAGTGTGTACTTGATAATCCTCTGCATCTGTGCAGAGCTCGCTTGTTGAAATGAGGAAGGCACCATATTATCATGGCATCAGTCTGAATGCTGCAGTAGTCATGAAAGGGTAAGCAAAAGGCCCTGCTCCTCAGGGGCCTGGGTCCTGCAAGCTTCTCTGTACTGTGCATCCTGTCTTTGTGCAGGTCTGTTTTGAAACATGTCTATATAGTTCCTCCAAAGGTTGAGGCCACAGACAAAGCTTGTAGACTGAGGTTTTAAATAACTCATTTTTTTCTAATTCCAGTTACAGAATCAGAAAATATGAATTAAAATATGTATAAAAACATCATATAGAAATATGGAATTTATTAATTGACAGTGCGTGGAGTACACACATCTCATTTACAGAACTGTCTAATAATTAGAACAGTTGTATAATTAATTCAGTTATCAGTCTATATACTTTATTACATCCTAGAATGAACCTTCTCACTCTTCCATTAATTTTATCACTATCAACAGCTGTAGCAAGTTTTTAAAGTGTCATTTTACCCTGATTGATCTTTTCCAAGAGGCACATGTATTTCAATAAACATTATTTTTAATCCCATTAATCCAGAAACCAGTCATCAGAATGATTTGTAGAAATGGAGACAGTATAAAGGAAGAGCTTTTCTGGATGGGTACAGTTGCTGAAGGTGTGAATGGCTATTAGTGAAAAATCTTTTTTTTACATATTGCTGACCCTTGGGGAAGCTCCTGACCCTGTCCTTTGCACCAGGAATGGTCCTTGCCACTGGGTTCACATCACTAAGCCAGTAGAAATCTAAGCAGAAAAGAGCCAATAGTTTTTGCTAGCAGTTAGCTGTTTGGTAAATTTAGACATCTGGTTGAATCTTACTCCAAGTGAAAAGCATGTCAGTTTGCACTGATTTCTTATCTTTCCCTCTGCTGTTTTTCAATGAGTATTAAATATTATATTTAAGCTATATACTAGTTTTCTGCTCTTACTGTTACATTCTTTAGGGTCTATATAATCTGTTACCATAAGCACACTACTTCATCTTATGCTGTATTATGTTTTATTTCTATTCATTAGGCTATCCAAATATTTAACCGATGTGCATACTGACATTCGAATTATATGAGTGACAATGAACTCATATGCAAGTCAAGATGAGTTTATCCTAAGATTTGCAATAGATTTTGTATCTGATCTTTAGAAGTACTGCGTAGTCTCCAAACTACCAAACGATACCGAAGTCACAGCATTAAAAGGATCTGCGTGATATGTAAGGAAAGCAAGCACACCATTTAAAAACAGTTTTAACACAGGTTTGTTCTCATGTGTGGATGACTGGGCCCTTGAGTAAACAGCTGTACATAGTTTGCATGAAATCTCAAGTGCCAAGGCAAGAAAAGCCAGGACAGCATTTGTGGAGGTGTGCCAGCCAGAACAGCTGGCTCACAGCAGCTTAATTTTCGGTAGTAACTTCAATAAATAGAAGAAGCATAGAATGATAAATTCATGGGAAAGAGATTCCTGTGATTAATTTAACAGACACCTGAGGTCACTATTCCCTCATGTAAACTGGATCCAGGAAAGGAGGCGTTGAAGCTACCAGAGGAGCTCCTGGGACCTCTTGTCCAGTTAGAGCTGCTCTACCTTCCAACAAAGAGGTTTTGTTCTAGTCTGGGCTACTGTTTTCATTAGCTGTGTTAATTTAAATATAAAACTCTCAAGAATTTAAGAACAAAAGCAAACGTAATGTTTTAAGCATTTTTTTTGAATATTCACTGTAAAATGAATTTGAGATTCAGAGCAGTGTGCACAGCTTCTAGGACATTCAGCACCACCAAGTCACAAATTAATAAAAATACCCTCATTTAACTGTAGAAGTATTCTAACAACATCAAGATGGATACATGGGAAAGGTTGCACAATAACAATGAAACACCTCTATGGTCTTTACCTATGTCAAATTTA